TGGTCTTTAAGTAGACCGAGGATTCTGTATCCTAAGGGAACGCTCTTTTCTCCTATAAGCAAGGCCGTAAAGGTATGCTGGCGTGTAAGCGCAATATTGATGTTTTGTTTTTACAGTGGAGTTTTTGGTGGCCTGGTGGTTTTTCTTCTGTTGCTGATTTTTTATTTTTTAACAATAACTTTTTATTTTATTTTTTTTTTTAATATAGTTGAATTTACGAATGACAAGTATGATATTGGTACTGGAACACACATTTTTGACTAGGAGAAATTTCTAAACTATTTTGAACAGACGTACGATTTTTTTTAATTATTTTATTTTGTTTATTAATGTTTGTAATTTTAATTAGGGCTACAAGAAAAGCCATTTTATATGCAAGTGTTTACTACGATTCGTGGTCTTTACTTGCTTTTAGGATTTTATTTAAACAGAAAATATTTTAATTTATTATTTAAATATATTAAAATATTTATAATTTTGTGTAAATAATTTTTTTACATTAAAAATTGCATTTCTAATAATTTTAGCACATTTAATTTATTATAACAAAATTCTTGATTATTATTTTAAGAATTTATTGTTCTTTTGAAAAACATTTAATATTAAAACAAAAATTTATATTACAAACTGTTTTATTTCTGCTTCTAATAAAAGTTTTAAACATTTTTACATTATTTTATAAATCATCAAACAATTAAGCCAACCCACACGTCACCAATTTAAAAACAAGCTGTCAAAAAAATCAATTCCTGCACATGTCAAGCGTCTCAATATAAGTCTATTTTTGTGAAAGAAATATTTATATTAATAAATATTTGAGAAATTAAAAAATATAAATAATTTGGTAATTGCAGGGATATGAAATATAATAAGTTTTTTCGATTTTTAAACAATCCAAGATTCCTTTTTAGTGTATTACTGGTCGTTTTAACTACACAATTATTTGTTTCTTTTAACATTTTATTGTTAGTAATTAGTGTTAGTATATTAGTCTGGATTAAGAAATATAAATTAGCTTGTTTGATACTTATACTTCTTGTATATGGATTGGTATTTACTATTATTTTTATTAAATTTAAAAGGTCTGGTGAAGGTGATGATACAAATAACTCTAATCATTTAATTAACAATAAAAGCAATGATACAATACCTGTAGAAGGTAGATTTAGTAATATAGATCAAGAAATTAATTTAAATAATGATGTACAAACAATAAAGAATACTACTGGTATTTCGACCAATAATGTTCCTTTTACAATAAGCAAGACATCTATTTCAGACCAGGCAGGATCTTTTTTAAAAGATTTTTACCACAGTAAAATCTCTAGCGAAAAAGATAACCCGTGTCTTAATAAAGTAAATGGGCCATTTACCATTAATAATTCTGTTCTCGATAAACAAGAAGATGAGCCTTTTATTGTTAAAGATTTTAATCCCATTAGATGTTATAAAGTAAGTATATTGGTTAAATCAAAAAATATAGAAAGTATTACAGATTCATCTGGAAAACCTATTCAACATGTTGAATCTGTAACTGTACGTTGATTTTAAAAGTTAAGAATAATTTGGTTTCATTAATATAACTATTTTTATTGAATATATAAATAATTTATTTTTATTTATCTTCTTATTAAGTTCACAATTCATTTAGACTTTTTGCTTTGAATGTACAAAGATTAATTATTTTTATTTTATTTAAAAAACTAATAACTAATTACATTATTTGTACAAATTAGATAAAAAGATGTTTTATATAAAATTATGTAATCATTTATTTAATATTTTTACTTGAAAATACAAAAGTGTAGTAATATACGCAACATTTTTAATTTATATGTGTTGGTATTAAACATGGGCTTATTTATTATAAATTATTTAACTCACAACACGCCAGACATCTCATGATATAGAAGATAACTTTGACATGTGTTTAAGCCATTCCTACAATATGTTTAAATAAATTGTTATATAAATCACGGTAGAGTACTTATTAAAAAATTATCGTACTAAACTGTTAAAAAGGCAAATAGACTTCATTTACCATTTTAACTTAAAAAACAAAATAACTAAAAAAAGTTTAAAAAGGCAGATCAGTTAAATTAATAATAGTAATTTAGATTTTAAAATTTATTGATTGTTCTAAAAAGGAAAAGTCAAATTTACTTAAAAAGAAAAAAGATAATTATAATTTTTAAACTTTATTATTACAATTTATATGCAGAATATACAATTACTCCTATTTCCTTTATTAAAGTTTTTTTGATTGGTTGATTTTTTTAGTAAAAAATATAAATAGAAATTTTTACCGTTAAATTATGAATTTACACTCCAAAAAGATTTCATTAATGATTATAGCTACAGGACTTTCTGCAATGTTCGTGTTATTGCTTGCAACAGAAGTGATATTTGATCAATCGTTATTATCTGCATCTCTTTTGCTACCAATACTTATACTAGTTCTACACGGTGTTGCCTTAGGCTATACAATTCTTAAATTTACTAAGTACTCATTGCTCGTATCTGGTGGTGTCTTTGTTATTTGTTTAGGACTGACAATTGTTATGTTTCTTATGAAACATTCAGTAGGATTTTATCTGATAGAAAAGGTTGAGGCAGATACAATAATAAATGCAAATGATGATGATGCTAAAATCAATACAGTAAAAGCATACACAGAAAAAAAATCTACATCAGTACTTTTTTATGAGATCGGCAAATCTTCAAATACTGGAAAGGCAGTGGATGAGAAAAAAATTTCCGAGACTTGCAAAAACTTTATAAACCAAGTACGTGACAAGTGTAAGTCGAATAAAAATCCTAAGGTTCCAGTCATAGTTAAATTGGATGCTCCTAGTGATTTTGAAATTTCTTTTGATGAAAATCTCAAAAAATATTGCAAAATGCTTCAATCTATTTTCTATTCTAAATTTTCTAAAAATTTGGTTATTTTGATACCTATAAATGATATAAATGATTTGGGAAAGAATGGATTTAAGAGGAGTACAGAAAATAAGCTATTAACAAGTAATCCATAAAATAAATGGGATATCTTATATTGTGTATTTTTACATAACACCATGTTTTTTAAAAAGTATTTTTTTATATAGCAAATTTAATTAATTATTTCTCATGCACAATAGGGGATTTTAAATAGACAATACTTGTATTGTAGTAATTAATGCTGATATTTCTATACTTTTCTTTAATATCGTTTTAATTTTCTATAATGTTTTTTTTTCAGAAGGTTTTAAATTATTAAGTATGACTTATTTTATATTCACTTTCAATTAATTTTACAAAATTATATATTGTGGAATTTAATTGTGTAGTGATTTATATTATTTTAATTTAAACATCTTTAGCTTAAAAAGTATAAATTTTAATATAACTAGTAAAAGTATGAAAAAACAAAAGAAGGATTAAAATCTTTAAAAAATTTAGATTTATTTTTTAAGCCATAAAAAAACTATAATAGATTACAAATAAATATAATAAATACCCTTTTTTAATAATATGAATATTATAATTTTAATTAGCTATTATATAAATTAAATATCTATTTAAACTACATTAAAAGGCTTTCATGATATACAAATAATATTTACAATATTATAATTTATTAAATTCATTTTAAGATTACTTTTTATAAATTTATTATGCTATACAATAAACTAAATAATTATTAAATGGAATTAATTTTATTATAACATTTTCTAAATTTTAATTTTTTTTAATATATAAAAATATATTGTTTACAAAAATAAAAAAAAATAAAAATAAAAAGCATTTACTATCATTTTATAAATAAAAATAAACATTTAGTATTTTAACTGTCAAATATTTTAATTAAGAAAGTGATGGTCTAAAAGTAAACAATAAAAAAAAAGTATAAATAAAAATTTTTTTTTGAAACCATGAGCATAAATTTCTTAGTGATCTTAATTTTATCATTAGTGATAAATGTATTTGATCTTGAATATATATCAAAAGAAAACTTAACAGGCAAGAAATACGCAATTATGAGTGTTATTGAATGTGCAAAAAAAGAAAAATGGAATCATAAACTAAAAAAAGATGTAGATTTGTTATTTTTAAAGCCTCCGCCCCTACCGGGACTGTGTACTATAGGTGATATAATAGTATTATATAGTAAGTATTTTATAATCAATGCTTCTTATGAACCACCACCAGACATAAAATATTTCTAATAATTGTATATCACTGCACCTAAATAATACCCAATATATGAAACCATTACATACACAACCCAGTAAAAAATTATATAATAACAACATGTATATTCAGAAAACACAATCTCAAACAAGATGTATTACAAATTACCTAAAGAACCAACAGTCAAATTTATAGTAAATGTTTTATCCCATTAGCCCTTAAAATCTTATAGCAAAATATTTTACTTATCTCCCAAAGTAAAAGAAATTGTGAATAATTTTAATAGCATAAAATATCTTAGATCGAAAGTCACTATGCCTCAAACAGTCTCTTAAGCTCAAAAAGCTTTTTCATTTTAAGTATCCTCCTAACCTTAAAAAGCTTCCTCATTTTAAAAATCCTCCTAATCTCAACAATCCTCCTCGTTTCAAATATTCTCCTAGTCTCAAATATTCTCCTAGTCTCAAATATCTTTCTTATCTCAACAATCCTTCTGGTCTCAAATATTCTCCTAGTCTCAAATATCTTTCTTATCTCAAATATCCTCCTAGTCTCAAATATTCTCCTAGTCTCAAAAATCCTTCTAGCCCTAAAAATTTTCCCAGCCTCAAATATCTTTCTCATCTCAAATATCCTCCTAGTCTCATAAATCCTCCTGGCCTCAAATATCTCTCTCTTAAACCAACATTCAAAGCGTATGCTTCTATAGACAATTTTTTAATGAATTGGCTCCCCCGCTTGTGTCCTCTTAATAAATTTGTTTATCATGTAGCACTTTAAAAAATTATTTAAAGTTTAGTACTCTGTAATTATTTATTTTTATATTTGTATTTTAAGGCAGCTATCATTGCTTAACTATCTATCACCATGCTTGTTTTACAAATTAGCAATTTTTTCTATTCTAAACTTACAATACAAATTTTAATATTACCGTTCAATTAATTTTATTCTTTTTAGCTAAGCAATTTTTTTAAAAAATAAATAAATCATATAATGACCTTTTTATATCGTGTTTTTATGACTAGTTTCGTTTTATACAAGTCAAAATTTATTTTTCTAATTTATAAAATAAATCAAATTTGTATTTAAAATGCCTGTAATATTAAGTTTCTGTATTAGATATAATATTTTGCTAACCCTTACATTTTAAATTATTTTTAACTACCTAGTTGATTTTTTAAATTCTGTAAAATACTTAATTTTAAACACATCAAAAACTTCTACAATTATGAGTTGTGGAATATGTAATTGTAAAAGTAATGAAGATACATAAATATTTCTTATATTTGATGTATAAAAAAATAAATAACTGGTAATAATTGGATCTATATTTTGTTTACAAATAAAGACAATTTATTGTTGTACAATAAACTTATTTTTATAAGAGTTGTATTTTTAAAAATGTCATAAAATTTTTATATTTGGTGTTTTTTTGAGAAATTTTATAAACGGCTTATATTCTGTAAATTAAAATTTTATCATTTAAATGCTTTTATACACCAGAAATAATAAATTTAATTGTATAAATTAAAACATTTTTTAATTAATTCTCCTTTTTTTTGTATCAGTTTTTTTATTTAAAGGGTATGTTAAAATTTAAGAATAACCTCTCTCCGTTGTATTTATTATCAATATGTATATTGTATGTCTGTTGCTTATTACTGTGTACAGAATACTTATTTGATTGTTCGATATTAGCTTATAAGACTGTATATGTTTCTTGTGTAGGATTTTCTATATCAATACCAGTTATTTATATTTTAATAGGAAAGGAAGGCTTGTCTAGTGCACTAAGTATCTGTACGTATTTAATATTTATATCTTCTATGCTACAAACACTATTTAAAACTACTTATGGCATTTATTATGTAGAAGACACAACTGCTGTAGCTTTAATTAAATTGATTAAACAAAATAATACTAAAAATATAAATACTATAGGTAATTTGTTGACATCAAACTTTCATGTAAATTTACTTCTGTACGGTGAAAAAGATATTTATTATGATCGTTGTCTACTGCCTTTACTAACTAAAGAAGATGTAGACAGCCGTAAAAAAGACTTGATAGATACAATATTTTTAGAAGGAAAAAAAAGACAATCTACCGAAGATATTATTTTTATAGAAAGAGATTTAAATGATTTAGATATTAGAAACATGGGAGATTTTAGCTTATTGGCACACATGTTACATTCTATTTATTATTCCAAATTTAATAAAAATACTGTTATTTTATTAAAAATTAATAATTACGACGAATTAGTAAATTGTGGATTTAACAGAAAAATAGAAAATAAAGACGAGTTTGTAAAAAATGAGAAGAAAAAAAATAAGATAATAAAAGAAAATAATTTAAAAAAATTACAAGAACTTAAGAAATCAGTGAATATTTTAGAACAGGATGTTGACAAAGCGGAAGAAGAAATTATAAAATTTAATAGTAAATTATTAACGAATGAAAATATGACAGAAGTACAAGAAAGGGTTTATAATTATTTAAGATATTTATCTGAAAATACATAAAACAGTTACTTTATAAAATAAAATTTTTTAACATTTAATTGAAAAATATGTACAACAAAAGATAGTAAATTTTTGTCAAAAAACAAGCTGTTGTTTGGTAAGAAAGTGATTGCGCAAATATTTTAAGTATAAAAATTTACTACTAATTTTATACTCAAATTTTAACAAAATACTTGCTGATGTTATTTTAGTACAAAATTTATAGATGAGAGCTTAAAACGTGGATGTTAACCACAAATTAAAATTTAATCGCTAATCGAGTTACTTTTTCAAAACTTGTTAAACAATATTTTGTAAAATAAAAATATTCATTGAAAATCTTAAAAAAATATTATCACTGAAGAAAAGTTAAATCCGAGCAATAAAATTATCATCAAAGCCCGTACAAGAAAAAATATTCTTACAACAACAATTTATCTAAATAAAGCTAACTTGCTTTGGGGAACAAATAACGTAAAATTCTAAGTTCTGACCGTCCTCCTACAATTCACTCACAAAAAAATTAATTAATTGTCAGTTGAAAAAGTTAATAATATTTAATTTTTTAAGATAATAGATATGTAAACTGTACACTAATACATTTATAATTACAAATATTAACTAGTAAACTACATTTTTATAAATTTATATCTAATCTTTATATTATATTCCTTTATATTTTAAATAGTAACACATTTTCTTAATTAATAATCTTAACAATATACATAGAAATTCTAAAAAGCTTATATTTACTGTTAAATTCTAACATCCCTTTTTTAAAAGTTAAATTTTATACTTTTTGAGTAACCAATCGAATTTTAACAAATGTTGATTTCGATGTGAAAGAAGGCTAATATTTATTACAATATACTTATTTTTTAAAAGTAAATTTAAGTAAAATTTTTCTCCTTATTCTTTAAAAAGTTATTTTTTTTAATAAGGGTATGTTGATTGATAAAAATAGATCTCTCTCACTTTTTATTGTATTTGGATGCTTTCTTTACATCTTTATTTTATTGTTATTTACAGAATGTATTTATGACACTAGTATTATGAATTATAAATTAATATTTACTGGAATAATTGCAGTCTCTTTCTTTGTGCCGATATGTCATATCATTATAGGATATAAATATTCAGTACGAATTTCACTACTTTTCGCATCAATTATTATGTCTGCTAGTATTTTACAAATATTTTATAGAAAATCTGTTGGTTTCTATTTTATTGATAAATCAGAAGCCATTTCTTTACTTCAAGCCAATAAAAATAGCACTAAAGACATAAATACACACTGTAGCAAATGGACATCTCTAAATACTGTAGTAGTATTATTTTATAGTGATAAAGATGTTAAGTTACCAGATATCGCATCTACAATAGTAGAAGAGGATTTTGAAAATTATAAAAATTATTTAATCGTAAAAATACAGTATTTAGGAAGTAAAAGGAAAACAGTAGATGATGTCATTTTTGTTTCTGAAGAATTTAAGAAGCTTAATATTAAATCATTAGGAGATTTAAAACTTTTAGCACAAATGCTTAATTCTATACGGTACTCTGAATTACCTAAAAATACTGTTATTTTATTGAAGGTAGATAATTTTAAAGATTTTACTGTATGTGGGTTTAACAGAAGCATACAGAAATAAACCAAAAAAGTAGTTAAATTTAATGAATTGTTTTAAGAATGTAATAAAAGTTTATGACCGATATTTTTATATTAATTTTTTAAAATATAAATTAACAACATTTATTTCTTTTGTGTGCAGCTTTATAGAATATTTTACTACTTACAGATAATTCAGAACTTCGTTTAACAAGATCTTCTAACTTTTCATTCCTTTCTAAAAGGCTATTTAATGTTTTAACTGAAATTTCTCGTGTCTCTTTTAGATCTTTTTGTATTGAATCAAGGATATCATGTTCTTTAGGATTTTGGTAATCTTTAAGTAACCCTTCAATATCGTGACATGTCCTACATTCACTCAAAAATTTATTAGCAATATTTACAGGATATTCCTTCCCACAACTAACATACGCATATTCGTTGTATATTTTAACAAAAACGGTAATGGTCATTTCGTTAAATTTTTGTTCAAAAACTTGAAAATCATATGTCTGTAGTCTTTTTGATAATTCTTTAGATATCATCATAATATATTCTCTAATGGGTTTTCTCTGGAAATAGGAAAACTCAGATAAGTGAAAATGTTTCTGTGCAACTTCTTCTGTGTGTATGTTTGTTACGACAAGGGAATACAATGGCATTAAAAATGTGGGGTAAAAAAACTAGCAATATTTTATAAACTAAGCTAAATCACTATATACAACAGATACAAGTACTTCTTAGTAAATAACAAGAAGTAATATAATACAGTTATTATTATTTTGATATAAAAAATTTTTAAAGCAAGAAAATCTTCGGATGACGAGTTGTCGATAATATTAAAAAACAAACATTGTGTTAGCAAAAACGTACAATATGTGATTAAGGTGATAGAATTTTTAATCTTTAACGACGTTTTTTGCAGAAAGTGGCGAAAAGCTTCTAATTTATGACTAAATTTGCAAAAGTGTATGGAAAAGATTAGTATTTTAATAGGCGTATGAATTGTTAACTATGTTATTGTTTCTGTTGGGATATAAAACATAGGTTTATTTACAAATCATTATTTATATAACAGGCATGTCAAAGCCATCAACCCAATACTGCTGATTGACATGTCTACATTTTTACTGTCCTAAGTTACTGTCAATATTTTTAGTATTAAATTCTTGAATCCCTTATTTTTGGTAACATTATATATAGTTTAAGTAGTCGATTATATTGTGACATTTATCGACATTGGATTTGAGGACAGATTGATGGCTATGACAGTTACTTAAGTGTGGTTGTTAGAAAATATACCTTATTAAAAAAATAATATTATAAATTTAGGCATGTTAACTATCTCACAACAATGATGTGTGAGATATTTGACATTCTGAGTAGCTTCAACAGTATTGTTATTCCGTGTGCATTTTAAAAATTTTGAACCTATACTTCTTTAATACAATTGGATTTGATTGTTAACATAAAAAACCCTTTTTACGATTGAGTTTGCTAGAAATACGCCTGTTTATAAAAAATAGTATTTATTTAACACATAGCTATCTAATTTTTATCATATAAACGTTCAGTATAAGGCAGTAAATATATTATTAATATTTTACACAAGACTAAATATAATGGTTACTTACTATATATGAACAATAGCAGTTAAAATATGGTGTTTTTAAACTAAAATAGCATATTGTAATTGTACAGTTTAATTTATAAGAATGTATATATATTCTCTATTAAAGAGTAAATTTATATACAATAATGTATCTTTTACAATATAATATTATTTTTTAAGGCAATGTTTAAAGTAAATCTCTTGTATATTTGAAGTTTCAAATGTACATTGATACAATGTTTTACTTTTTTACCAAAGTTGAAAAATTTTATTGTGTAATAATAAACAAATATTAATTATACAAACCTTAAATCTGTTAAATCGTTTATTTCAGTTTACTTTTTTTACTCATCATTTTTTCTAAAATCTTTTATTGGTGTATTTTTATCTCAATTTTTTATATTTTCATTTTTTTTAATCCCTTTTTATGAACTTCAGTTGGAAATCATCTCCCCCTTCTAATAAGAACTACACACTATTAGAAACATTCGAATGTAATACACATCAATTTGATGCTATATTGTATTCATACAAAGATAACTGTTATTTTTATCTAATTTATAGAGGATCCATTTATTTTGATATAAATGTAAACTATAGAATAACCATAAATGAAAGACGTATTGAAGGTGTACATCAATTCTCAAAGTTTTCTAATGATTTTGGGTTTATGATGGAAAAATCGCCACTATTTAATATTGAGTTTTTTATGAGTGTTATAAATCAATATAACTCTAAAGAAGAAACTTCTTTTTGCGGACTTAGAAATTTAGGTGCTACTTGTTATATTAACTCCTTAATACAATCTTTATTCCATATTAAAAGATTTAGAAATGATATATATAGATGTAATCCTAATGGTAAAATCTTATTTTTACAAAGATTATTTTTCAATATGCAAAATCAGGAATATGTAGATCCTACAGAATTTGTCGTGAACTTGGTTGACGATGTTACTCTCCACCAGGATATTCACGAATTCTCAAAAGTTTTATTTGATGTAATTGAGAAAGAATCAAAAAAAGGCGGATTTATTGATAATAAAGATATTAAAAAAGAAATTGTTGAGGATTTAATACAAGGACATGTAGTAAATTTTATAAATGCAGATTGCGGGTGCACCAGGGAAATTAAAGAAAGCTTTCAGGATATTCAAGTAGAGATTAGGGACTTTTGTAATAATAAATTAGCATCAAATCTTATTGATTCTCTTAAATTATTTACGGCCGTAGAAACTCTTAATGGTGAAAACAAATATAAATGTGATACCCATGGATTAGTAAATGCTAAAAAAGGAGTTTTATTTTCTGATTTACCCCCAGTTCTATTTGTACTGTTAAAAAGATTTAGTATTGATTTTGAGACAGGCGAATCGTCAAAAATTAACGATTTTTTTAAATATCCCGAAATACTAGATTTAAAGGATTTTTGTGTAAATAATTTTTCTACTACTTATAAGTTATATTCTGTGATTGTTCATAAGGGTGGTCACGATGAAGGACATTTTTATTCTTATATTTTTTTGAATAACCAGTGGTATAAATTTAATGATAACGTTGTTACTAAAGTACCTAAAGAAGAAGCAATGGATATGAATTTCGGTGGTAAACATTCTCTTTTTAGGAAAAAAAAAGATTTTTCAGCATATTACTTAATTTATATTAAAGATTTATATATTTTAGATGAAGAAATTACAATTAATTCTTTGGTATTAGACGAAATTAATAAGCAGAATATAAAAAAAGAAATAAGATGTATTACATTTAATAATATAAAAAATTATCGAGGTCCGGGTTTTTATAATTTAGATTCTTATAATTATCCATTAACTGGATATCAAGAGTATAGAATTAAAGGCAGTGATACGGTTAAGATTTTAAAAAATAAAATTGGAGGCCGCGAGCGACTTTATTTATTTAAAGTTGCGAATGATAAACTTATCTATTTGTCCGACGATCAATTATTGGACGGCAAAGATTTTTTTATTTATAAAAAAAATGATTATATTGATTTTAAAAAGCAAAAATTGGTTTTTATAAAAATTTTTAAGGATGATATTTGGTTTAAAGATACTATTCCAGAGAATCTATATTTATCATTCATTGCTATCGTTAATAATAATATACATAAGAAAATAGAAGATAATGTAAGAATTTCAGATTTTGTTTTATATAAAGAAGATTTTTTATATAAAAAAGTGCACAAATTTAATATTAATGATGATATTGAGCATGGTGATATTTTTATAGTTGTCAAAAATACACATACCACATCACTTGAATGTTTTTATAAAGACTTTTCGTCTAGAATGTGTGTCAATGTTCTTATTGATTCACAAAATTGTATATCTTTATTTTTACCTAGTAATTTAGAAAGTAAATTTTTATTAAAAAAAATCAGATCTTTTTTTTGTAATGAAGAAATTTCTTTGTGTCCTTTTGATCCAGTGGTATTGGAATATCTTCCATTAGAAAAAAATATGGTATCTATTGATATTAAAGATAATAAATTAATATATTTAGGTTATGGTGAAGTAACTGATTATAATAATATAAATTGTATACATCCCTTTATAGCTCCTAAAAATATTACTGGTAAAGATTTCTATAAGATTTTTTTATCTTCTGATTACACGATGGAAATGGATATAAAAAATTTACGTGTTGTTGACGCTGTAAAAGATACTTTGTATTTGAGAGATTACTCGCTTGATGAACCATTTACTAGTGAAGGAATGAATCTTTTTCAATCTTTCAATTCAAATTTTATAAAAGTCGCATATTTTATTGGTAATTATGAGATAAAAGGGTATCCTTTCTTTTTATTTGTTAATAACCATACTGTACAAGATTTTAGAAATGAATATAAAATTTTTAGTAGACTTGTTAAATACGATTTTAATGGATATGTTGATTTAGATGATACTGATATTTTAAATGAGTGCAGCAAAGAAACATTTATTTTAATCGAAAGAAATTAAAAGCCGTTGAAAAATTTTTATTAAAAAGTATTTATATTTTTATAGTCTTATTATTTTATATTTTGCGTTGTTCTTAGAAAACTGATTATTATAAAGCATTAATGATTTATTTCTAAATAAAGGTTTGACTCTAATGGCAAAATAATCTTTCATCGGTTTAAATGATAATTAAAATTTTATCTAAGTTAAAAATTTACAATTGTACGATAATTCATTCTTATAACAAACAAGTATCTGTATAAGTTGTAAAATTTAGTAATTATTATTATTTATCTGTAAGACATTTAACCCCTAGTTAATTTTTAATAAACAATATAAAATTAAAAGTTAATGTATTTTGCTTTTGATTCTTAGAATAAATATTTTTGTCTTTAAATATGATTATAGGTTGTGTAAAATATAAAAGATTAATTTTTAGTGGTGACAAAAATTAATCTAGTAAACACATAAGTATTAGTGGAATTCTCGTTGTATAAATCACTTTTATCCTTTATTTCCCCTTAAAAATTTTATTAGTAATTTTTATCATTTTTATAAGCCCTTTATAAAAAATTTCATATAAATGTTAAATTAAAATGTAAACTATTAAAAAATATTGGTTGTATATTTTAATATCTATTTAATTAAGTATAACGCTTAATTGGTTTTAAACTGTTTTTTTTGATCTTCTTAGTAAAGGAGACATATATAAGAATTAAACAAAGGATAAAAATGATTTTTGAAAATGGCTCTAAATATGTCGGTGAGCAGCTATCGATTGACAATTCCTTCTGTATTGAAATGAAAATAGACAACATAAATTATGTAGAAGAAGTTCTATGTGGAACTTTTAAAATTTATAATTCAGATAAAACGTATATTAAACTATCCACATATTTTGAAGCTTTAATAATTGGCAATCTACATCCTTTTTACACAGAAGAAACAGGTGAAGATAAAGAATACTGGAAAAGGTTACCAGGATATTCTGACAGTTATTCTTTTAAATATTCAAATTACATTTATTTAAAAATGAAAGAGCTTTTTATACTTCCAGATGCTTCTTATAATACATCTGATGCTTCTATAGATGGATGTTATTATTGCTGTTACTGTAAAAATTTAGACTGCTTTATTGGGCACTATTTATATAAAAATGAAAATAGAAATTTATCACAAGAAATATTACTAGAAAGAATTAATGAGAGAACCAAAGGGGTAGCATGTTTTGTTTAAACTTAATATTTTATTAAAAAGACTTAAAATAAATATATAGAAATTATAAATTTTTATAATATAATTACTATATTGTTATACATCATTATTTAATGTTTGTTGTGTATTGAGTTATTCTTATTGTAGAAACGCCAGTTCGTCAGATTACTTTTAGCACACACAACATTTTCAGGTTACATATACATCACAGTTATTTATATTATTATGTTACACTTCATTATACCTTGTTTTTTTATCAAATCTCAGTATTGTTAAGAGCGTAAAATTATTATTAATAACGTTTGGAATCCTTCTATTAATTATTATAATTAAGAAGTAAATTTATAAAAACTGGAATATAAGTAACTTTAGTAAAATTACTTAAAAAAGATTAAAATTTTAAAACTTTTGAGTCATTTAAAAATTCTCTACCTTATTAAATTAAATTTGTTAAAATTAATACAAATTTATTGCTTTACAATATATTTAGTAAATTTGCATTAATCATAATTGAAGGCATAAAAAGTAAAAAATATTTATTTTAAAATACTACAATTATTGCAAAACATATATAAGTAATAAATAAAGGGTATAGAATAAGAAATTGCTTATTACTTACATTAAGATACCTAACAAATACAAAAGAAGCGGTATAAGCTGACCACAAGGCAAAAATAATTCCAAAAAATATTCTACATTTTATAGGCAGCCATTTTGTAAAAATGTTAAGAAACGAAAACATTACAATTGGTGTAAATGAATATCCCAAAACGGAACAACACTCTAGTAATTTAATATCTACTAGATCCATAACATTAAGTAAAAGATACGTAGAAAATATTGAAAATAAGGATATAGAATAAATGTATCTAAAATGCATTTTATAATTTAAAAGTAAACATAAAGAAAAAGCAATGATATTAACAAAAGGTCCAGTGACATCAGAACTTACTACACAATCAAAAGATGATGGTGTGAAAATCTTAAATATAAGAGATGATTCCTTTCTAATAATCCCAAAATCTATGCCAAGTTCTTCCAATAAAGGTTTATCTCCACTTAAATGTCCTGTAAAAGCTGATCGTATATCTATTTTATCAACGTACTGTTCTTTCAAATCTTCAAATTCCATAAAAAGGGTAGAGATATTTAAAAATACAAATAAAATGAAAAAGCTTATTAAAAATTAACCCCAGTTATGCAAAACACTTATATAAAGGGATATTAAAAAAAAGATTACAAATGAAAACTAAAGCTAGGTGTGAAGAAGGTCATATTTAGCTGGATTATCATAGATAATTAAAAGTTTTAAATATTGATAGTGATAGAATAAAATTGTGGCACAGGTCTTTTAGCAGTAACAAAAATTATTGTAAGGAGTGTTATAAAGAGAGAAATTTTGCAAAGTAAGAAATGGTGATTTTTTGGAAACTTGAGGAAAGGAGAAACAAATTTTAAGCAACAAAAAACTTATTTTGCGACAATAAGCAAGAATATGCGACACTGAAAGAGATGGTTGATGAGTCTAAAAAAGTGAAGTATTTTTTTGCAATTGTAGAAATATATATTATTTTAATGTTATTTCACAAATAAAAAAAGAAAGAAATTAAAAAAGAGGTATAAAGAAATATGAAATGAAGTATTGATTTGAAGGCTGGTTAGGAAAATTTTAATAAAAAATTAGTAAAATTTATATAATTTTTAGTAAAAAGATTATAAATTTTAAAACACTCAAAAAAGAGCCGAATTTTGAACTACTATGTTTTGATGTATCATAATGATTGCTTAACACAAAAAACAGGACGTGCCTTGATAGAAGGTAAATTTTAATAATCAAATATCTTTTGCGATTCTGCTACTAAAAAAATATGGTTTGCTTAAAGTTTTAATGCTGTTTGTGACCTTTTAAGTTTTGCTTGGTCTCTAAATTTTCCTACATCTACATTAAAAAAAGTATTTTCATCAAAGGATATAAAAGCTATAAACTTCAAATATTGATGAGAAAGTATGGTTAATATTGAGCTCTAAGGCCTAAGGCCGGCTAATCTTTGGTCACAAGGGGGGCTATGAAAAAAAAATGTTCTGAAATTTTCAAACTACTAGAATGCTGATTATGTTAGGTAAGTAGGTTTTTTCATAAAAAAAAGCTTTTTTAAAACAAAACATTTATTTTTTTTAAACAATAATCCAAGCAACTTTGAAAAGACTTTGACTGTGTCTTCTCTATCATGGCCATCAATGTTATTTTTTCTTCATTGGTATTCCTAAACGTAGCCAGGAATTGCAAATCCTAGAACATCCTTTCTTGTTTTAATGTCAGATTTAAATAAAGACCATTCTACTTCTATCAAATTATTATGGTGTCTTTCTTCATTTGCAAATCCTAATTCATGATTAACAACAATATGATTGCATTCAATATTTGCCATAGCGTATGGATAGGAAGTATGGCCATCTGTTTTCTACAGTGAAATAAAAATATATATACTTTTTAAAAAAATTTTAAAAATGTTTTTTTTTATATTTGGAATTATCTTTAAAACAAGCTTTCTTAAAACTTTTTCAAAACCCCCAAGAACCAGGTCCCTCTCTATATTTTATTACTCTTTTCGGAGGGAGATTTGTGAAGCTTGCTTTTAACAATTATGCTTTCGTCGACCTGAATAAGATGATCGTCTCCCAGTTTTATCTTGTTCTTCTTATTATCCTTCGTAACAACATTAATTATTAGCCTTTTAATTCTCTTAATGGAATTAGAGATACATTAGAGTTTTCGGCCATGTTGTATTCATAATTTTTTTCAAGCCAAGAATAGATAATAAACGAGTATTCATTAAGCTGTATACTTGAGTCGCTTATTTTAAACCCTTTTGACAATAAGATTGATTTTGTACAATCACAATTTATACATTTTAACCGATGAAAATTTACATAGGCTTCATCATACTCTATTCGCATTTTCGATTTACACTTATCACATCTTTTATTAATATCAAAAAATACAAAAATCACACTATTCTATTGCATCTTTTAAGTTTATAAAAATCATAAATCTTATTCCTTTAGGCCTTCTGAAAAATTATAAACCTGGGAGTTAAAAAAAATCTCAGATTAGGGCGCATTCCTGAGTAAAGAGTCGAAAAAAATAGAATTACCCGGAAATAGGCTTTAGTGCATTCTTTTTTCTCAATCTGCATTATGTCTTTGGACTTGCATGTATTGTTCAAAACTAAAAAATACACTACTTATCAATAATTAAATTTTGTGATAGTCACTACTCTATGATTTAAATTATTTGATAAAATTAAATGATAATGTAAAAAATATTGTACTGTTCTTACAGAAATAAACTTAATATTTGTGTTATTTTTTGTTAATAAAAAATACAAAGAACTTTACAAATTAAAAAAAAAGTGATAAAAAATAAATAAAATTTTCCTTATCTTTTATGATATAGTATAGTAGACCCTTATTAAACTTCTGCTAAAAGATTTCACTGTACAGATTAAAAAATAAATAAAAAATTATTAAATTTTATTTTTTTCACTCTTACGGTGAGATCTTTTAATCGGGCTTCAAAAAAAAACATGATGGGCTTACTTATAGAGTGTATTGAACGATGGAAACAAAGTAAAATGAGAGTAAATATTGGAAAATTACAACTTTGGCAAAAATTATTAAATTGTTAAGTGTTACTTTAAACACGTAAGAAATCACTCGATTTGAAATTAAACAGAACGAAACATTTGAATTCTCTATTCTAAAGAATATTTTAGAATTAAGAAGGTTGTTAGGATTAACTGTATGACTAGAAAATTTTATTAAGGACTACGCGGATCTTACACAGCACATGACAGATGCTTTAATAGGCAAAAATAAACAATTTGAATGGACTGACGACATGGAAAAGAATTTAATAGGTTGAAAGAGATTGTAAGAAAAATTTTAAATAGCAAATTATAAAAAAGAATTTCTTTTAAGAAAGGACGCAAATAATTACAGCATGAGAGCCGATTTGCTACAAAAGAATGATATAAATGATTGGTTTCAATACAATGTGTATCAAAAAAATTCTTGCGTACAGAACAGCGATATGGAATAAGCAAAAAAGAAATGTACACAGTATTTTTGGGCGTAAAGAATTTTGGGATTTGGTCGGTTATTTGCCCGAAATATATAAATACACAAAAAGGGGTAAAAGATAATATTTTCCAGAGGATTCAATCTTTTGGGTATTCTTTCCAGTAACGGGATCTACAAAATACAATTTTTGACTAACTACCTAATGTCTAAAGCCAAAGGTCTTTTAATGTTTATATATCCTGCCCATTCATCCGAGAGAATTATCGTTCCCGCCATGCACATTTGCCCAATAATTAGTAACAGGATATTGCACTTCGATTTGGAACGATCTATACGTAATATCTTGCCAGAGATATAGATGTATTCTGGATTCCAAACACCTAAATATCGGTAAACTCTTATTATAACTTACCTTTGTCAAAATAACACACTTTTGTAAAATATAAAAAAAATCTTTTTAACCTATTAAAATGGTGAAAAAAGAAAGAAAGTACATTTTTTTTGAAAATGAGGATAATTGCATAAATACTAACTTTGAAGTTGTTTTCAGTCTAAATTTTACAACAATTTATATTTATGATTCTTTTGCTAGGTCAAATTTCTTATGTTACAGTTTTTAGTAAAATTAGGATTACTAGAAAATAGAATGAATTGTTCATTGTGTGACGAGTTTATGAATCTAATTTCTAATAAACATTATGTAGGTGGATATGTTTGGGTATGCAATAAACATGAAAAACGATTACAGCTATCAGTACGATCATGAAGTTTCTTTAATGATTTTAAAAACCTCTCAGAACAATTTTCTCTTTTTATATTTTTGGAGTAGAAAAGATTTACGATTAAAATAAATAATGAACTTGCTCTTAGTAAGAACATAATTTAGATTGGTGTTTTCTAATGCGTGAAATATTATAGATAATTTATTTGAGATGTAATAACAAAATTGGTGGTTTTTTGAAGATAGTTGAGATTGACAAATCTTTATTTTTCAAACGTAAATATCATCGAAAAACGTTATAGACAGCAGCATTGGGGTTCTGGAGATGTAGAAGGAAGAACTTGCACTGCTTGATTATTTTTGGTACCCGATAGAACAAGATCAACTTTAGAACCAATAATTAAGAAATATATTCTTCCTGTTTACATATAATTAGTTATAAGAAGGCCGCTTATTCTTTTTTAGAAAGCGATTTTAATTATGTATATTCTTTTATTAATCATTCAAAAATTTCGTTAATTCTTTAAATTCATTAACGCATACACAAAACATTGAGACATGTTGGATGGCATTGCAAAAAACCCTTAAGAGAGCAGTTTGGAAGATCTGAACATCTTTTACAGGGTTATTTATATGAGATTAAATTAGGAAGGTTTGCACTGATAAAAACAAAATCTTTAATGAATTATTGATCGTAATTATTCGTGTCAATCAATTATATAATGAAAATAAACTCTAAAAATAAATATGTTTTCTGTTTTTTATATTTTACAAAAGTGAGTTATAATGGGAAATAGTCAGTTTTTTCCACCTAAAATAATAATTTTTCTGTCAATACCAAAAAGATTTTAAAAGAATAATGTTAATTGTCCTCAACGTATTTGTGGAAATTTAAGAAGTTTAGAATTATGTTTTGTATTTATATGTTTGGTCGTCAATGTTTACTTTTTAATCTATATTTGTTTTAATAACTAATCAATGTTAGTAAACAAACATTAATAAACTATAATACAAAAATTACTTCTAATACACACGAAAAACAAAACTATAATTAAAATGGGGTTCTTTTATAGCGACTTTTGCATACCTTGAATTTTTAGAAAAAAGCAAAAAAAATTATTGATTATATTCAAAAAAATCCTTACACTTTTACAAACCGCTGAGCAAATTTTTCGGATTTTTTATTCATTAAAAATATACGCTTAAAGGTATACTGAGCAATCCAATCATCTATAAAATTTCTTTGCACCCCATTTTCTTTCCCCACTGTACTTTTTAGATAGGACCAAAATCCTTCAATGTAATTTGTATGTGTGCAATCAATTGAA